GGTCGAGGACACCAAAGAAATGGATAATGTGCACTTGGTTGGACATAGACTTGTCGGCTGGACCGGAGAGATGCCCTGCAATTGCGTGTGAGTTGAAACTAGAAGAAAAAAGCCCGTCATAGCAAGATGGGGGAAGGACGAGAATTGGGGCATAAAAATGAGGGGATACAAGTGAAATTGGAAGGGGACGATAAGGATGAAAAAACGTAAAAGTGTGGATAATAAGACCGGAAGCAGTTAGGTTGTCACTAAAGGTACTGCAGTTTTTATAAGTTTATGTTACTAGCTGTATTTGTTAGTAAATCTGAGAAAAGTTGCCTAGCTTTTCTGCATCATTTTCTACAAGTCTTGACAACTAAGCTCATAAACACGTCTTTAAACTTTTACAGAACATTTATTATAAAATGAACAAAGGATAAATTCGCACGAGCTCCTTGTTCTAATTTATAAATTCGGTCGAAAAGCATAGAGAACACGTCGTGCATTTGGCCCCGGAGCTACTAACGACAGTACAATGGAGGTTTCAAAAATTTCGAAAAGGTGACGAGACTTGAAGATGAACAGCGTTGCGGACGACCATCGGAAGTGGACAACAATTCATTAAGGGCTCTAGCTGAAGCGAAACTACGTATAATTGTTTGAACTTTTGTTTCTAAGATAGAGGTATCGCATGCGACGGTTTTCAAACATCTACTGGAGATTGGAACGTCGAAAAGCATAAGTAGATGCTGCACGAATTGAATGACATTCAAAAATGGTTCTTTTGTAGTGTCGTCACCCTTGCTTTGCTCAATAAAAACAAACCGTTTCGCGACCGGATTGTGGAGGTGCGAAGAAAAGTGGATCGTTTATCACAATCGACGATGGTACGGACAATGGTTGGATGAAAATCAAGCTCCACAACACTCCCTAAACTGAAATAGCACCCAAAAAGCTTATGGCAGTTGTTTGATGGCCTGTGGCTGATCTGAGCCATCACAACTATCTGAATCTAGGCGAAATCATTACAGCGGAGGAGTATAAACAAACTGTTGAAAAGCATCAAAAAGAGCAACACATGTGCTCGGCAGGCTCAACGGAAAAGGACCAATTCTTCTCCATGAAAACGTCGGGGTCACGCGTCCAACAAACAACCCTGAGGAAGCTGTCCGAGCTAGGCTACGAAAGTTCGCTTTACTCACCATAATCCGCTGACTTCTCGAGATACAAGAACCACATTTCCAAACACACGCATGGTTCCCTTCGAAAGAAGGGTTTTAAAACACAAGATGCTGAAACTGCATTAGACGAGTTCATCGGAATTGTATTCATACAGGACAAATAAAACAGTTTCCCGTTGGCAAAAGTGACTCAATTCGAGCCGCTTATTTCGAATAAAAATGTTATATTTGAGTTGAGGTGGACATTACTATTTTTAAATTGAAAACCGCAATAACTTTATTAACGACCTAATAATATCTTCATTCCTACTAATCTCACTCTGTTCATCAAACAGAGCGTCGTTGATTAACCTCTGCGACGACAAAAGCATCAAGAAATTGCGTGGACAAGATGCCCTCAGGCTACGATTAGGGTTCTCAATCAACCTTACCGCAAGGCAGTGGCATTCTTGCAATGGGATACACAGGGACCATTTAGGTGAGTAAAGACTCATCCTGACTCCAACCCCCAAAACCTGAGGGACCAGGCGACTGGGTTTGTCTGGCCTTTAACCATTGACCAAACAGGAATGAGTGACTTCGAAGGTGAAAGAGACACCACTCAGCACAGCTAAATGGATCGTTGATGCACGCAAACCATCGCATCACATCAACGTCTACCCTTATTGCGATGTGCCACTTGTGACGACAACGTGACATCATTTTCTCGCTCTGGAGGGTAGAGTCAACAATGTTGCTGTCCATCAAATTTTACTGCACGGTTGCGAAACCTGGCCCATCAGATCGACGGACGTAAAGAGGTCAGTTAAATTCGACCACCGACGCCTTTGCAGTTTGGCTCACATTTGATGGGAACATTGTTTGGGTAATAGGCCTGTTCAGCATCTTTTTATGGTGTTGGGAGAGTAAGTACACCGCTCAGACCATTATCTCACGCACTAAGCTCGGATGGCTGGGCCATTCGCTAAATATGCCAGCACACTGACTCTCGCGATTTGGATAGAAGAGGAAAGAAACCAAGAGAAATGATGGCTCTCATTCTCAACCCGGCCTTGATTGATGACTCTCGACACCATTACTGGGATCTGAGAGATGATGAGCACGTTTGCTTGGCTACACTTGTTGACATGGCGACCTCAATGACGCTTGTGCTGTGAATTTCTTTGTCCATCCGCTTCTGCTTATCCTCCTCCTCCTCTAACCGAGATCCCACTATTTGTGTAGAATAAATAACAAGGCATGATATCACTCGTTTAGCTGACTTTCCGCTTTCGCCGCTTTCTTTCTTCTATGGGAATTGATTGTATTTTATTGCAGCACAATAGCCGAAGTGATGCTAACTTCTAGCTAACGCGTGTATTTATTGTCGCTTCAATCCTGCCTGTCACTGGACTAAGGCAGGCCAGCGCATAACTGCACAATCACCATCCAGAGCTGGAGTTATCCTCAATTGTAATGACTTAACTTCGGTTGAGTAAAAGATATCGGGTGGAGTATCCTAAGTAAAAATGTAGTTACCTTGCGGGCAAAGGTGTTAGGCCGTAGTGAAGCGCCTATGTATAGTTGCTTACCGATTTCTAGACAACGCTACTGAACCGAATCGGATTGTCAGCTGACACCGGTGATAGATGCGCAGACAGCCGCTTGTCAGACAAGCGTGAGGCTGACGAATACAGGATGGAGTTCCCATATTTCGGCTGTCTTACTCTATGCAGTAATATGATATCGATAAGCGCGATCAGATTCAGGCTATCTGTGGCGCTCTCAAGAAAGTTGAATGCAGATTATCGATAAGTAGAGAAAGCTCGCGGAGGAATACGACCCAATAAACACTGAAGACCAGTGTCACGCGAAACGGTGGGGAACTGCTCCAATTCATCCGAGACACGGATCAGAGGACAGCCACAGTGAGGGAGACAAAAGATGTGAAAATGGGTGTGTAAAATATTGTCAGGTGCTTGAGCAGTGGAGGAAACACTACGAAGAGTTGCCCAACAGCAATGCAAGACGGTCAGTGTTTCTTGAATCAGTTGAGCATACACGGAACGTGTCGTTTACTACCGTAGAAGAAAATCGGTTTGAGTTTATGCTGTCAAACAAGACAAGTAGCAAGGACTTGACAGTCCCACTATAAAATCACGGAAAAGAGGGTTCCTGCACTCCAGTTGTGGACTCAAAAGGGATCTTCCGGACCTAGTGGTCAATTAAGGAATTATCTCCACGAAAAATGTAGCTGATCGCGAAACAAAAATACTAAAGGTAACTAGGTGAAAACACATAGAAACTAACTTTAGAATATCCTCTCCCAAGCAAGTGAGGGGAATCAACAGGATTTTCGGGAAAATGGAATAAGTGAAAGCTACATTGATTCCCACTTCATGGAAGAAAGCATTGATCACACGTCTACACCACATCATGTGCTGGAACAGAAACATACATAGAAACCACCAGCTGACGCAGTGTTCACCAACTCGGAAGCGACGTTTGATTTAGTTAATCCTGCCTGGCTGTGGCGTCGTTCATGCTTGGAAAGCGTTCTGGATATAGTCCTTCTCATGTTTGAGTCCACAAACAGCGACGTCCAGGACAGTGTTCATCACGTAAAAGGTAACACATCAAGGATATCTCACTTCTACTTGCCTATTTAACTTGAGCATAAAAATGAATTGGTCCCCCATGTTCCCATTTCCTTCGATAGGTGATGATCGAATGTGTTGAGAGTACGCGGGCGATAGAGCAGGACTAACATCGGGCCAAGCTACGTGCACATGGTTTGTTAGCCAATAATATGTCTGGTTGGGTGAAGCCACAAGGATGCGGAGAAGAGGACTAAAATATTATTTCAGGATTTCGGAGGCAGTTTCATGAGCTGCGAAAAAGTTGACCGAACGACATAATCAGACTGCAAATGCTATCAGCCTAGACGGAACTCACGGTTCCGCAATTGCCTGTCACTGTGGCCTTCACAGGACGCCTGCGCTTACAGAGGCACCATGGGTGGCTTGAGTTGCACCACCCACAGTTCCATCCACAAACCCATATCCAATGTAAACCCGAAGGAATAAGACCGGGAGGCATACGGATTGGAGCCACGTGTCATCAACGGAGCCGGCCCACAGTCCCTCAACAAGCACAGCAACAACATTCCTGTCTATCTATGTGGGGAAACATGCGTACCAGACGTACACAAGGCGGTGGCTCGACTGTAGTCCGCTCCACAATGAGTGCATGGAGCCACTCTTTGAGCCTAGCACGGCCACAAGAACCGTGCACCCCGTCCCCTCCAGCAACGACCAACTGTCTCCTAGAGCCAGTATGGACGAGGTAGTGGGTTATAGACAGGCAGGCATCTTGTCAACAAGCACATCAAGCGCAACCAAACCGGGGATGTCAAGCAACAGCCAATCACTTGAAATGACCGCATCAAATAAAATAGATCGAAAGCACCATACAGATATGCCGCTTAATTAGCATATGAAATAAACATTCGCGATAAACTCAAGACGAAAAACATATGCAACAGACAAGGAAAATAGAGGAAGTTAACCACTTCCGTTTAGGCGACATGTGCAAGTTAATAGGTAATTCAGGTAGACATTATAATGAGGTAACAAAACAAGCATTAGGACAAAATAGCAAACCAATCGCCTGAAATAAAGAAACTCAGCACCGAAGCACGCGGTTAGTAAATCGAATGGAAGCGCATGATGTGGCGTACCAACAGGATATTATATAGATGAAAACGTGTGTGGAGGGAGAGTGCCAATGAAGGTCTCATCGATCCCAGAGCAAAAAGAGCGACGAAAGGAGCCATTTCAACTCTTTAGAATGAAAGCTCACCATTAAGCGAGGGCTCTGAATCAAGTTGAGTAACGTTGCCTGATCCGGAAGTTGGCAGAACAGTGTCCGTGGGATGTTTACTAATGGCCGATTGTTTATCGTGACCCCGGTCAATAAGGATAGGGAAATCGGCTGTCATGGAAGAGATGGGAAGGTCGGACAGTGGGGTTGGTAATGCGGGAGAAGATTCCGTAGGTGAGGTGAATCCGATATCTCCATTGGTGAAACGATTCGCCTGTAGAAAACAGTAGAAAGAAGGAGCCCTAGGGTAACCGGTACCAAAGAAAGCACTAGAGAGTATGTTGGATGGGGAGACGGAAAAAAGGGAAGCGCTCAGTGAGAACGACTATAGTGGAGGGAAAAAACAGTGCAAGTGCAGAATAGCTCAAACTTGGCATTGATGCTATGGTAGCTGGTTCGAGGGATTTCGGATCTGGTAAACAGCACCCGAAGCGTACAGTGACGGAGGGTGCAAACACTGGACCTACAACGAGGATATTGGATTATAACAAGGGGTAAATTTTGGATCAGGATGCTAGCAATTTCGGGTTACGGAAAACCCGTTGTTTATACAACAAAAGAACGAGCGGAGCAAATGCAAGTTGGAGCAAAAAAAGGCCGGCAAAGGCCTACACAACTGAAGATCACAAACCTAAGCATTAGGCCTTTGAAGCTGGACAGACTGGAATCTAATTTTGCGTGAAGTCTATCACTCATCTATATGGAACTTTGAGTAGTTCATCAGACCGATGTATCCACGGCTAGTATGCACAAACAAGACACGGGTCGCGACCATACGGATCCGTAACAACTGCCGGAGTCACTTCGGTCGTTGAAATGATGTAACCAAGAGAGAATGTTTTCTCATTATCATTATTTTGAGCAGTTAGTTTCGGTACCATTGTTACTTTGAAACCCGAGCCATGCGTTGAGCTATTAGGACAAAACAGGATTCAGAAGTAAAGAATGATTGAGCTCCTCCATCTAGGTACAGTGGATCCAGTTGCAATGACTCACATCAAGCCACGATGACAATAAACAACAGTAAGAAAACGGTTGAACGCAAACAGAAAAAGAAAATGGAGTTAAAAAGGAAGTGCATAAAACCAATCGGGATGGAATGAATATTAACAGCCAGATGCAAAAAAACGAAGGCGGCAGGGTCACTGACTGCGTCGTGTCTGATAGAGCCTACAACCACTGATGTAGATCATCCCGAGGGTCCCATCCACGCGAACCACACACAAGCCTGATCGAGATTTTCGGTCGACTTCTTCATACCTTTATGCCTCGTTATCGACTGGCCATCTCGCGGTTTCACCCAATTTGACGCAGCGACAGCGTATAACGCTGTCGCTGGGATCTTCAAAAGAAGAGCCCAGACGACCTACTTGCGCATCCATATCCCCTGCAACAACGATATTTGAACTGGTAACACTGCGAAGCAGTGTGTTCCATTCGTGGTAGAAGGTGGCCTTGGCAACATTAGAACTGCAGTCGGTAAGGCGTTAGTAGAAACCACAAACAAACGGCGTCTTGCACTACTTCGTGACTCGAGCGTAGTTGATATCGTCAAATGGTTGTTCATCAGAATCCAAGCAAAGCATCGATGACAGTCTTGGAACTGAGAACGACGCTCACCCAACTTGACCAGTGATTGCCACATCAGCGTCTCCGAATGCGTGCAACCAATAGCAAGAAAACAAGCTGGGCGCGGTTAGTTCAACAACCCTGTGTGGGTCACTGATTCTAGTTCCGGATATGTAACACACGTCAATACCCGAGTGCAGCCTGTTAACCTATTTGTCTTAGTGTGAACGTTTAAGGCCAATAGGGAAACGGGACAGCATGACCTTGTTGCTGATGGATGTCCAATGAGTGGTGTGGGAAGATAGTTTTAGATAGTAGAACTGCAGTGGCATTGCGGCTGCTGTCCATTAAACTAGACATTATAGAAGGTTAGTAATGGGGGTCTGGGGCGGAGTTAGAGGAGCAGGTGGAAAAAAGAGAAGGGCAACACCAGCAGTAAGATGCTTCCGCTTATCCGCCCTATGGTATACAGCGGATAAGGTGACCCTTCTAAAGCTGCGCGATGGTCGATGCATGATGTCGTTGAAGTTTAATGAAACAGTCATGGTTGACGCCAGCTGAGATACTACTTGGGCGCCCAGACCTAGACAGGAGAATAATTAGGATTCTCAACTAAAGCGTTTGCCTCAAAAGCCTGCCCGGAAGTTAGCGGGGGGCATGACAACGATTTGGTTTTACAGAAATGGACGCCATCCCATTTCCAACCTGGAGAGCCAGGAGACTGTTTAGCTGACCTTTAACCATTGACCAACCTGGTAGGAGTGGCTCTCAAGGGGCCCGAAAGCACCACTGGTTATAGCTCAACAGGTCGAAGAGGTACGCAAACTGGACGGTATCCTTGAAATGTTAGCGAACAACAATATCGAGACAACCGGCTCGTTGGCGTGCGGAGCACACGACCGAATCAGCGAAGTTGATTTCAGCCCAACGGGTACATCATCAATGATGCACGGGGGGGGCGGTTGCCAAACACCAAATGACGCATTTCGTTCGTACTGCTCACTCAGTACTGCTATCACATACGAGCGGCATTTTGCAGGCATCGATTATCAGACGCGACCAGTCTCCTAACGTCTTCAGCGCGTGGTGACAGTGTATAAAAGCGGAAATAAAGGCTCCAACAAGATGCCGGTGCTTCGTAACGACGCGACGCGTATGTGCTATAGGTATTGCGAGGTCACCCGCACTTATGCAGATTCGAACCGTTGAACTTCGAGGCTTACAAGACGGTAGACGCGGGCCAGGTCATTGCATAATGCAATAACAATGGCGGCACCACAGCGAGGAAAAGCATTTCTTTAACAAATATGATCACTACCCGGCTTTAAAAAGCCATACAGGACATGATAATGCATGCGGTGAGCAGTTGGGTGATATGACCATCAGAAGCGATACAGATACCCGAAAAAGTAAACTGGACGAGTACTTCAAGCGGTTGGGTGGGGGTAGTGAGAACTATCGAAGTAGCACATGTCAAAGAGTGTTGCAATGAGTGAAACCACTCATTAGCCTTTACGCAGGAATTTGGTCTGACACAGAGAACACTACATCGCCCGCGTACTTCAAACTTGATAGTAGATTACCTAACTGAAACCCTATTAAAGGAGAAGCAGGAAGTGGGAGAAGGTCATTCATTATCATTCTGAACACAAAATTGAAGAGTGGCTGGTTGGCCGAACAACCTCCACGTGGTGCCAGCTGGGTGGTTCGGGTTAATCCCGGTCCAGCTAATAGTTCGGTGGCAGTGTTCCAGGACGTGGTGGGTGTTCGCCTGGCAGGCATTCTCTCTATAAAAAGCCACAAATTTCTGCTTAACAACACTGTGACGTGGCGGATATGACTCGCCACTAAATAAAGTCAATGCCTTGACACACCGGAGGAGCTTACACGTTTCGCGAACGACAACCACTTAAAAGATTTCATCTGATTCCTTCCTATATTGGTGCATTCACCAAACAAATTTACAAATTCACAGTACTACTAACAAATTCACACAACACGATTCCTTACACATGCACCCACACACATACTACACATATACACACACATACATCCGGCAGGTACTGGGTAAATCGTAACATTTCTGTACCATTACTGATGTTACGCATTTGTATTATCATGATCGTGCCTTTGAAGGCGTGTCTCGCACCGTCGAGAATAAATCGTTTATTTATTTATTTATTTATTTATAGGGAAACCTTGGTATCTTATGTTTGCAGCCCTCATATACTCTTACCTTCCTCCGAAAGTTGTGGTACAGAAGTTCCCGAAGAAATTTATTGTTGGATCTTGGAGCACAAGCCGTGTCTGGATTGCGATATGCAATCTTGATTGAGGTTACAGTCTGCTTTGAAACAGTGCAGTGATGGGAGAAAGCAGCTCCGAAACTCTCCACAAAGAAGAAATTTCTCTTATACACTACTCAGTTGACGGTTGACAACCGCTAGTTGGAGGGCACTTCCTTGTGCCAAGGTGAGGTATCACCGTCCGTCAGTGGCGATGATTAGAGGTCACTGGGAAAAACGCCTCATTCCGTTTCAGGACTGAATAGCGTTAGATCCCGCTAATAGCCACAGTAGAGAGGTTGATGTTCCCGGTGGGTTCACGTGGTCCAAAACTAACCTTACTCACAGCGTTCTAGTCGACGAAAAAAAAGAAGAAAGGCATCAGCAGTACGCCGGTACGCAGTACCGACGCAACCAACACTGGTCGCACTTGGGCTAAGGGGACTGCGGCGGTCGCCCAGCCCATACACAGGCTCGAATCCGCGCCGTCAGATTACAAGACAAGCTTGTTATCTTTAAGCTACGGGTCGACAGTAATGAGAGTGGAGCAGTTGTTCATCTTCCCTGGCTATTGCCACACTCACGGAAGCATTTCGTGGATTCTGTATCAAACGTTAGAACAGCACTCTAGTGCTGCCAACGCTGTCGGTTCTCTAACGGAGCATTATCATACTTCAACGCACCAGGTCTATTCTCAGAGTTAGACAAGCAACGTTTCAGAGCGTTACAGAAATCACGAAGCTGATATCCTGAATGAACGATTTTACGGCTCCAATTTGCTAATCACAGCTCCAGAGTCCCATCCACTATTCGAACACCTCAAGTTGGGTGAGCGGGACAAGTGGTTGTGTTCTGGAAACGCACAATGGGGAGGTCCCAATCTCAATGAGGTTGGCCAACCCCGTTCGTTAGTGACGGCCCATGCTGCAATATGAGCTGATATTTGTGCTTCGCAGATTGTGAGTACCGTTGGGGAGCAAGCACTCCGAGTGGGGATGAAAGAGGAACCAGCTGGCGGGTACGCATGATAACATGATCAGAACTAGGTCGAACGACAACCTTGCACTGGATTGCGCCATCTGTAGGTGATGGCCAGGTGACAGATTTCGACTACGGTAACCTATCAATTGCTGGCCGCTCGATGTATGTGTTACTTTTGGAAAGCTGCGCCGCTGATATAGGGGTTATGATCAATACACAGGCAAAGAAAGCCGTCGCGATTGTCTGTACAATAGTTACCGTCCCGAAACGACCTTCAAGATGACGCTCTGACTTGGATAAATGATCGGCTGGAGTGTTCATTCGTCTCGGAGTGAACACGGGATCCGTGCTTATGATGATTCGATCTAGTGAAGAGAGG